CCCCCCCCCCCCCCCCCCCCCCGGTGGCCCCGAGGGAGGCCTAAAAGGATCCGAGGCTCCTCCTCGGCGTTGCCTCGTTGCTTCGATGTTGGCGAAGAGAAGACGATGATATTTCAGGAGCTCACCGGCCGATTGGTCTGAGGATCCTGCATTTCCATAAACAGGAGCTCCATATCCATGTCGGAGCCCTCGTGTATATAAAGAACCCGGGGGGACGATTTCCTCCCACTGCCGCCGCCCTCCTCCACCCTCGGTCTCGTCTTAGGTGAGACCAGTTTCTCTTCCTTCCTCCTCCTCCTCTTCCTCACTAACGAAGCCTGTGAATGGATGCAAAGCAACTGAGTGGAGACGGAGGGGTTTTTTGGGGGGGGGGGGGGGGGGGGGAGTCCTGTTGTTGATGAAGTCCTGATCTCTGAGGTTTGTTAGTGAAGTGAAGGGACATGTGTGGTCCAGGGACGGACATGTGTGGTCCAGGGACATGTGTAGTCCAGGGTGAAGGACTGCATGATGGTTCGAGACTTCAGCTGATTTGTTTGTTTCTGACTTTTTATATTTCTAGATTCTGAAGCGTTCGGTTTCTGAAGCGTTCGGCTGTTTTTGACTGATTCCTGTAACTTAAAGATGATTTGATGTTTTTTGGTTGAGAGAAGATAATGAGTGTTATATTGTCAAGACTTTATTTTCAGACTGAAATGTTTCTCAGAGCCTGAAAGCGAGACGAGAGCCGAATGCTTCGATAGTTTAAAATAACAGAAATAAGTTGAGTTTGTCGTGGAAACAAATTATCGTTTAGGTTTACTCACAAAACGACTTCATGATATTTTTACAGTTAACTGGTTTAGAGCCTCTGAGGTGCAACGAAAAGCATTAAAAATGTAAATTATTTGTTAGAATAAAGAGGATTTTTTTTTTTTTTAATAGTTTGGAGGTTTTTAAAGTTTCTGGAAAACTGAGATTGTTTTGATTGAAGAAGTTTTTAAAATGTTTGTTCACTACAAATAAACTCCAAATCAAGTCTTTTTTGATGATGTCAGCTTGTTTCCGTTGCGCTTCGTTATTCTAACTTTTAATGTGATGGAAACTTAAAACCTTTATATTATTTATAGTTAAATAACTTGGTGTGTGTGTGTGGGTGTGGGTGTGTTGACAGACTGCCGTTGGCAGCTGATCTGCTGCCGCAGCACATTTCCACGAAAGGAGTTGAAGTGTTAACTCCCGGGGGATATTGGGTTCTGAACACCTGTAAAGGAGCTTATCGTAGGCGTCGGCACCGACATTCGACCCAAACTCCAAACTTAGCTCCCGTCAGCACTCAGCTGCTCATCAACTGTTTGAATGGATCACATTTCATTCAGACGTCTCTTATATTCAAGCAGAGTGCCGGATGAAAACATCGTTTATTCTCAACCTCTTCTTCTTCTTCTGTTTTCTTTCTCTCCGTCAGGAGTCGTGAAGAAAAGAAGCCGCCATCATGTCTGAGTAAGTGAATTATTGATATCTAGTGATTTAAAGAAAACTTTGTTTAAAAACATTTGTCAGTGTATATTTCATAGAAACAATGAATATAAAAAATATTTGATTCCAAGTAACATTCTTTCATTCAGAGTTGTATTTAAGTTCAGAAGTATCAGTAGAACATGTACTCAAAGTAGAGTAAAGAAAGTACTCGTTGTGAAGAGTTTCTGGTTTTGGATAAAAAAACGAGCTGATTATTAGAATGGATCAGAAAAAGAGACAGAAAGGGAAGTAAAGCAGGAGAATGAAGAACTGAAAGAGGAAAGAAAGGGAAAAAAGATGGAAAGAGAGACAAGAAAAGGAGAGAAAGAATGAGGAATCAAGGGTGAAAGACGAAGGAAAATAATAAGCCGGGGAGGAAAGAGACAATGAAGAAAGTCAGAGACAAAGAAAGGATGAATGTAAAAAGGAAGAAAGGGAATAGGACTTAAAGAAGGATGGAAAGAGAGGACAGAAGGAAGAACAGAGGAATCAAGGGTGAAGGAAAGTAATAAAGGGGAAGAGACAAAATAAGGATGGATGTAAAAAGGAAGAAGAAAGAGAATAGGACTTAAAGAAGGATGGAAAGAGTTTCTCTTGATGTGAATCGAGGGTCTCAGGACAGACTGTTGTATCTCTACAGATTATTAAACCCTAGAGACAGGTTTGTTATTTGTGAAAGTGAACTGTGAGAATAAACTTGAGCAGACAGGCGAGTGAAGGAAAAAGAAAGAAGGGATGTAGAATGTGATTAGTAAACTGAAATAAACACTTATACAACATTTATACATTTTTATCAAACGCATTGTTACATTTAGAGGACAAACAAATGTGATTTGACTTATTTTTTATTAAACGTTAACTACGGAAGCCCTGAGAGGCAAATGAGGGAAAAAAAGAGATCTAATGATCCAGCATCATTGTTCTAAGTTCCTTAAGAAAGAAATCGTTTGTAAAACGATAAAAAGTGTTTATTGTTGTAGTACCGAGTTCAGCCACACGAGGCTTTAGTGCACCACCGCTCCGTGTTTTAAATATGAATAGAATAATTCATGTTTCCTTCCAGGTGTGTTTTAATATACTAAACTGTCTAAAGTACAATATATGTTCGTTGTGTTTGGATATATTTAAACTCACCTGGAAGAAAACACGTATTTAGAAGACAGAGTAGAGGTGCACTGCTGCCTCCTGTGGCTGAAGTCAGTATTACAACAACAAACACTTCATCCTGGTAAAACCTTTTTATTCAACTGTTAAGTCATGAAACCATTTAGATCCGACTTTCCTCTCTCGTGTATTTAACCTGTTGATGAGGTCGTTGTTATTTAACTGAACGTATCGAGAGAATGTTTTCTTCTCACAAGTTGTTTCTGATCTTCACAGTAAGAAGATGAATTCGAGCCGCCGGCATCATCTGAAGGTACGTCGCTCTGTTTCAGGCTTCTGTCCATCAGCTCCATTGATCGACAGGTGTTCAGATACTGATGACAGCTGATTGGTTAACATGTCGTTCAGTATTATCATGAAGTTCTTATTAGAGAGTCATTGTCAGACGCCGTCTGCTGTGAAACAGTCAAACACACTCAGTGTTTCATATGGGAGAAGATTTGATGACTTTCTGTCTTCCTCTTGCAAAATAAAGTTTAAAGAACACCGAAAAGATTTAAGTCGACCTGAATGTTTGTGTGATCAGCGATTCCTTCAGGTTGGTTTCTGTGTTGAAGTATCGTCAGCGTTTAACTGGTTTCACCCACAAACTGGGAGCTTTAACTGGGATTCTCAGGACATGTCAGCTGCTCATGGAATTGTTTTTATTAATTGTTAATAGTGTTTTAACCTCTACTGGTTCATATCAGTGTTCATTGTTAAGTTCCAAGGTGGCTTGAATTAAATGGAGTATAATATAATTTAATCTATAATTATAGAATAAGGACTTCTTTCTTTAATAATTTAAGCTTTGCTAAATAAATGCTAATAAATAAGCACTGTCGTATTTATTAGTTGTTTGTCTTATAGCTCACATGTGAAAACCTCATGAAAATTCAAACCATGTTTTTGATATTTTCAATGTTTACATATGAACAACATCTTGCATGTGAAATCAAGTTGAACATTGAATCACAGCAGTGATCACATGAATACATGAATAAAGTCTTCTCCTTCCGTTGACGTTTGCTGGCTGTGTCGTGCAGAGTGTGATGCTTCAGATTGCGGCGGCCTGGATCCAACAGGAGAAAAAGGACATCGCAGCAACCAAGCTGACCTACATGGCTGAGAGCTGTCCTAAACCCAATATGAGTGGAGACCAGGCCGCCCTCATGGTGAGAGATGCTTCAAGTTATGAGACCAAAAGCTTCATCATTCCTTCATCACAATCCCATTACTTGACCTTACTGGAATACAATAACTAGTTATTGAGCCTATTCATCCGGAAAAAGGAGCCAAATCACTTCCGCACTAGTGGAGGTGGTCATGATGGCATCGTGTGTGTCTCTTGATATAAACTAACATTGTCAGAGATTGGTAAAAGCTATCGTCAATGTTCACATTACAAAAGAACAGAGGGAGGTGGACCTTTCAAATGCAGTTGGAACAGTAAAAATCTGTTAAGCCAATGTTGAGATATCGATCTCTCAAGTCAAGAAAACTGTATTACCCGCAAGTTTAAGTGCGTTTTCAGGAGTACACCATCCGTACGCTGTAAAGTTAAACTGTGGGTGGTTTTAACATATTGACTCAGGGAAACATGCATTCAATATTTGACCAGGAGGAAAAACATTGCTGAAAACATAAACCCTTTGAAAGTCTCCTTAATAAGTCTTATGAAGAGGATATCGAGGTCAGAGACATCGACGCTCCCATCATTATCATACACGGAGCAGTTCAGACTAGCAGCTCAAATACTTCAGATCTTCCTACTTTGTGTTCTGACTTTTTATCTTTTATCTAATTCTATGCTGATGATGTTTACTTTTATTTGACTGTCAAAAACTACAGTCCTGTTAGCAGCTCTGTCAGGCTGTACCTGCATGCTAGCATGCTAACATGCTGATGTTAAAGGTGTGATGTTAACCATGTAGCGTAGCATGTTAGCAAGCTGCCTGGGCTGATTAGCAGTAAATGCACATCGTTAGTTCTGCAGGTATTTGGTTATAACCCAAAGTGTTGGACACATTCAAATGTTGACCTGATTATGGCTCTAGAAGAGAAGCCCGAGGATCACCAAAGTTATTACAGTTCATCTCCAGGGGAACATGAATGATGAACCACATTTCTTGGTAATTCAAGCATTACTGTAGTTGAGATGTTTTACTCTAAACCATGAATATGAACCTCATGGTGGCGCTTGAGGAAAAGTCAGAGAAATGCTAAAGTTAGTTGGATTCATCCTCAGGGGACCGTGAATGTCTCCACACATTTTCATGGAAGTCCATCCAAAAACTGGGATAGTTCAGTCTAGAGCAAAGTGATGCAGACAGACCAACATGCCTGTTACCTCCACCATTTCCGTGCATTGATATTTGATATTTGCACATATAATTATCTTTGTTCTATATATTTTCCTTATTATTTGTATTTATTATGCTATGAACGGTACTGGAGGGGCCAACAAAGCATTTCACTGCGCAGTGACGAGATATGTTTGCCAATGAAATGTTGCAGACCATGGCTGAAAGAAAAGTGCTTATTTAACAGCAGATTGAAGTCTAACGTCCATCAGTGAAGGTTGGTGATCAGTAAGTAAACATCGCGCTTGTTCGTGTCTTCAGGAAACCTGCAGAAAAATGGCCGCCCTCATTGACAGAGTGGATGAAGAACGATACGACCTGGAGTCCAAAGTAGGCAAAGCTGATAAAGAGGTACAGTTCCTGCTTCCTTATTTATGGGACCATTCACCGTAGCTCAATTTGCATAATCATGACTCTACCTGAGCTTTATGCAAATGAGGTCCGTTCATCACTAGGAATCAGGTGGCAACCTCTGGTTCTGCAGAGTGAAAAATGAAAGCTTCATGTGTTAAAGCTGCATTCTCTCTAGTGTCCACCAGG